CGTGGGAACCGTGGGCTGGTGGAGTGAGGACCGGTGGCGTCGAACTGCCCCCGGGGCGCGAGCTCAACACAGTTGTAGGGAGCAACGCCGTTCACGGCGTGGAGGGCGTGTCTTATTTCTTTTTTGCGTTTAGTGAGTAGTTACACGGTCTCGTCCGTGCCTCGCCGGCCGGCGAGATTGCTAGAGGCGGAGCGGTCTGCTCTAGCCTAGCACGTTACTTCCTGTCGTCTGTTGTTTGTTGTGCCCTTGTTTGTTCTCTTGGCACCTTGGAGTGCTGGGGGGGGGCGACAGGCAGGATGTGGCCTTGAGTTATGTGTACGCCCGCTGGCTGTGTGTCTTGTGAGCCTGTTTGTGTCTGTGGTGTGTGTCGCTCGTGCGTGTCGTCATCATCTGTCCGGCGTCCGCCCGTACCGCGTTGGTGTCCAGTCCGAGCCTGGCTGTTCTTCACCTTTCTACCTACCTACCTAGTGAGTGTCCTTACCTTTTTCTTGTCTGCTGTGCCTTTTGTGGTGCTAGTCCGTGCCAGTCTGCTGTTGTGAGAGGGGCTTGTATTCGTAGAATTCTTTTGCGGTTAGAGAGTGTCCTTACCGCTCTGGTGTCCAGTCCGAGCCTGACTGTCCTTCACCTTCCTAACTAACTTTAGCGTGTGTGTGTGGAGTGTGTGTGGAGTGGAAGACTCTTGCCGCCAATCGTCACCTCCAGTTTGTACCTCTTGCTGCCTCGCTCCTTTCGGCTGTAGCAGACGCCTTTGTAGTGAGTGTGTGTGTGTGTGTGTGTGCCTTTGTAGCCGCTGTTGATGTCGCTGCTAGTAGCCAGAGTCAGGCCCTCCGTCTCCGCCTGCTGTATCGCCTCGGCGCCAACGGCAGTGGGAGTGGTGCGTGCTGGTTGCAGCAGCTTGGCGGCGTCGGCGCGGCCGTACTCTGAGCGAGCGTAGGCGGTAGCCGCCTCTTTGGCGGTGTCGAAGTAGCCGAGGTGGACACTCTTGCCTCCATTTCTCACCCCCGCCTTGAACTTCTTTTTATCGCAGTCGTACTCGGGTACTGACTGTCTTTGCGGACGGCCGCGGGCGGGATCAACACGAGACGCTCGGACACCTGTGGCTGGCAGCGGCTTCGCGCGAGCGGCGCCGTGGCCAAGAAAAATCTGGCTAACTTTTGACAACCAACAAGAAATCACGGCGATATCCATGTCGATGCAGACTGTGCTGGCGGCCGTGCAGCAGGACGGCTTGGCGCTCGAGCAGGCCGCGGAACCGCTCCGCGCTGATCGCGAAATCGTGCTGTCGGCCGTGCGCCAGAATGGCTTGGCGCTCGAGTATGCTGCGGCTGCGCTGCGCGCGGATCACGACGTGGTGCTCGCTGCCACGACGCAGAACGGCGAAGCGCTGCAGTTTGCTGCGGATGAGTTGAGAGCGAATCCCTCCGAAGTCGAGCGCGTACTGGCGGCCGCGCTACGCCGCACGCAGGCGGAGCTTGCGACAGACCAGGCGGAGCTCGTCCAGTGGCGCTCCGGCCAAATCAGGCGCGAGCTCAAGATCGACGTCGATGACGACTCGATGGCGCCCGCTGTCATGACGAGCCACGACGAGTCGCCGGCGCGTGGGAGCAAGCGTCCCATTGCGCCGACTGCAGCAGCCTCGAGCCACCAGGCTGCTTTGCAGGATGTCAAAAAGGTGAAGCTGGAGCTGGCGACGCAATTGCACGAGAGCGAGCAGCGGTATGGCGAGCTAGTGGGGAAGGGGCAAGAGTTCAACGAGGCGCGCGAGAGAGTCTTTAGCCAGCTCAGGGAGCGGTCCCCCCCGGGGGCAGGCTCAGCGGTGCCCTGGCGCGCGTTCGGCGAGATCGATCTGGGCAAGCTCATGGATCTCGGGCTGACGCAGGGGGATGCGGTTGGCCCCGCTACGGCGTGGCAGCAGGGGTTCTGGCTCTTGTCTCCGCCCGGGGAGGAGGAGGCAGCCGCCAGCGACGGCTGGCCTCCCTTCATCGCGTCGTGGGCCTTTCAAGAGCGCATCACGGTCGGCCCAGATGGCAAGCAGGAGGTGGCCTACTCTGTCCGTGAGGAGACTCAGGTGCTCAGGATTGAGCGGCGGATGCCCCCGGAGTATCGGGGCGAACCGCGCTACGATCAGTTCAAGAAGTCGGCGGCCTTCGTGAAGCACTTGCGGCGCAAGTACAACACCAAGGCCGATCGCATCCTCGGCTACCTGCTCGAAAAGTACGAGGAGTACGAGCGGCACAGCGGTGGCGTCGGCTTTAGCGGCTACTCCGTCATCTACAAGGTGTGGAACGAGGCGGAGAACCGAGAGATGTCTCTGGCCGAGATGGTCGCTTTGCTGCCTGCTCTCGTCGGCGAGCCGGCAGCGGCGGCGGGAGCGGCGGCGGCCGTAGAGACTCCAGCGGCTGAGGCGACGGACGGCGAGAGCGCGCCACCGTCAGCCGAGAGCGCGCCGCCGTCAGCGAATGCCGACCAGGCCGCCGTGAGCGCGACATCAGGCCCGGCCGATGAGGCGGAGGTGCTGGCACCGCCTGCTCCGGCGGCGGGAGCGACGGCGGAGGGAGCTACGGCGGAGGCTGCTGTTGTGGTGGCTGCTGCTGCTGCTGCTGCTGCTGCAGTGGCTCCGGCCGAGGAGCCGGCCGACAGTTCTCTTCGCTCCCGTTCATCCACCGGCGTTGCCGCTGCCGCTGCCGCTATGTCTGCCGCCGCCGCCGCCGCCGCTGCGGGGCGCCGTTTCCCGCCCTTGCGCACGGGTATGAAGGTTGAGGCGAAGTATGGTGGCGGCGCGAAGCACTACCCCGGCGAGATAGCACGCGACAATGGCGACGGCACATATGCCGTCAACTACGCTGACGGGGACACGGAGAGGGCGGTGCAGCGGCCGCTGATCAGGCCACTCGAGTCGATTTGGCGCGAGGGGCAGAGCGTCGAGGTGCTGGAGGCGGGCACAGGCCGCTATTTGCTCGGCACGATCACGGGTGAGAACCGCGGCGGTTTCCAAGTCGCCTTTGGCGACGGGCGCATCGAGCGGCGCGTGGTGGCGGAGAGGATGCGCGAAGCGGGGTCTCCGGAGGGTTCGGAGGGAGCGGGCGGTGAGGGCGGTGCCGCCTCGCCCACGGCTGAGGTGGGCGGCGCTTCGGGCCTGAGCGGGGTGGACTCGACAGAGGCGGGAGCTGCTGCGGCGGCTGCTGAGGAGGTTGAGAGCGGACCGCTGCTTTCATCGACGAGCGAGGCTGGCTCGGGAGTGGCTGTGGCCGAGGCGACCGGCGATGAGGCGGCCGGCAGCAGCGAGCCCGCTCCTGTCATCACGCTCCAGCAGATAATGAGGGAGATGAAGATGACGCCCAGCGGAGCGCAGCGCGGGAAGGGGCCCGTCGCAGAACGCCACCTTCTCGCCTACAAGTGCGCGCATCACGACCTCAAGAAGCGGTCGGGGCCGTGGGAGTGGGAGGTGGGTGATCCGGAGTTGGAGATGGTGCGGCAGTTCTTGCGTGACTATCGAGATCTGGGCGAGCGAATGCCGAGTGGCTGGAAGCAGGGCGAGCCAACCGCACCGCCAGACTCGAACTCCGCCGGCGCTGCTGACGGGTCCGCTGTCGCTGCCGCTGCCGCTGTCGCTGCCGAGCGCCCGCCGCGGACGCCGTCGGCGAGCAGCGCCCCGGATCAGGCAACGGCGGAGGCGGTGGCAGGTGGAGTGGGCGGCAGTGGGGGCGGCGGGAGCAGGGAGGGTGGCAGTGGGGGCGACAGCGGGAGTGGGGGCGGCGAGGGCGGCGCGGGCAGCAGCGCGAGCGGGAGTGGAGGCGGCGGAGGCAGCGCAGGTGGCAGCGGGAGTGGCAGTGTGAGTGGCAGCGGGGGCGGCAGCGGGGACGGCAGCGGGGGTGGCAGTGGGGGCGGCAGCGGAGGTAGCGCGGGCAGCAGCGCGGGCGGGAGCGCGACCGCATCTTCTGACAGCACCTCCTCCAACTCCGCCTCAGCGCAGCAGTTCTCCGAGGCGTTGCTAGCGAGTGCGAGAGCGGAGTTCGAAATGGACCGCAGGGAGGAGGCAGCCTGCGGATTTCTAGAGGAGCGGTGGCGCAAAGCGCTGCAGGGCAGCCTCTCGCTTGAGCAGTTTGCCGCGAGGGCCAGGAGCGCAGGTCTTTCCCGTGAGCTGTCTGAAGAGGAGCTCACGTGCGTCGCAAGAATCTACAACCAGCTTTCTGCAGCCTTGGGGTCGTCCTTCAACATCTCGATGGACGGCCCGAAGCGCGTGGCGCCGCTGGTTGCTTTCTTCGCAGTTGCGAAGGCGTCGCTGTGGGTCGTAACCGGCCCCATTCTTGTTCTCGCTACCAAGCAGGAGGCGCAGCTGTGGCTGAGCGAGCTAGCGTCATTAGCGCCGAGCCTCAAGGTGACCGATTGCACTCTGGCCGAATTCAAGGATGAGCACAGCAAGGAACTGGCAGCGGGGAGGATTGCCGATTTATTCAAGTCCTGCACATCGGGCGTGGTTGTCGCGATGTACCCGCGCAACAGCGGGAGTGGATACAACGGCTGGAGGGATCTCGCAAGGCAACAATGGAACGTTGTCGTGTACGACCAGGCTTACTCCGCCTCAAGGAAGTCCGACAAGATTACAGATAAGCTCTTCTCTTCCATCCCGTGCAGCTTGGGCCGAATCACGACTGGCGAGGAGAGTCTCAGCGACTATCGCTATCGCCGCTGGCAGTACCGCGTTTGGCGGCCCGCAAAAATGGAGATACCCCTCGGGCGGGACTTGGTCGAGCGCAGCTTCGTCGAAGCAAGCGATCGCATTCTAAATGCGCCGCCTCCCTACTCAACCTCCGAGAAGCCCTACATGAAACTGGCGCTAGCGCGGATGTACCATGAGATACTCACGAAGGTTGGCTGCATCGAAGCTGATGCGCCGGTACCTTCGGTCCTGGAGTGATCCTGTGTGTATATCTGTTTAAAGGAAGAAACAATAGACATCTCCATGCATGCTACAAACAAAAGACTGCGGTAGAGACTGGTCACACCCGCACAAACGGCGTCGTGTTTGTCGGCACGCGGCCCGCCGCCCCGCGCGCCGGCGCGAGCCCCGACACCGCGCGCATGGTGGCGGACGCCACGGCGGCGGAGACGCGCGGGTCGGCCGGCGGCGCGCGCGGCTGCGGCGAGTTTGGCGCCTCCGCCTCGAGCGGCGCGCTGAGCGGCGCGCGGCGGCGCGGCGAGGGAGGGGTCTGCTGCGGCTTGTCGTCGCCGGCAAAGAGGTTCTCCTTCTCCGGAGGGGACATGCCGCGGCCTCCTCCTCCCGCCGCCGCCGCACCGCCGCCGCCGCCGCCGCCGCCGCCGCCGCCGCCCCCGGCCGGCGTGGCTGGCGGCGGTGGCGGCGTGCGCCACGACACGGGCGGGGAGGGCGCGGCGACGGGCCTCGCAGGCGTGGCGGAGGGGCGGTCCGTCGACCCGCCGACCGCCGCCGGCTCCGCGGTCGCGGCGGCGCCTTCGCGGCGCTGGGTGCGCGCGGGCGTCCGCGCGTGCGTCGCGGTGTCGAGCGGCGCCATCGGCACGTGCAGCCTGAGCGGCGGCACGCCCTCCCCCTCCCGCGCCCGTCCCGCAACCCTCGCCGCCTGGCCGGGGGCCGACGTCGGTGGAGTCGCGTGCGGCTGCGGGGGGGACGCCGACGCGCGGCGCTCCCGCTGCAGCTGCGCGTGCAGCCGCAGGCCGTACCGCACCTGCTCGTCCAGACACGGCCGAGACTCAGGTCGAGAGTCAGGCCGAGGTTCCGCCCGAGGTGTAGCGGAGGGGGGCAATGCACAGCCGACAGGTAGCCGAGAGGCAGCCGGGACGCACAGCCGAAACGGCACGCGCCTGCTCGTCCAGCGCCGCCGCGTCCTCCGCGCGCCGCTCCTCGCTCAGCCGCAGCGCGCGACGCAGCTCCGCCGCCTCCGCCTCCGCGCCCGGCCGCTCTGGACGCTCCGGCGACGCCGACGCCGACACTGACGCCGCCCGCGCCGCCCGCAGCGCTGCCACCTCCGCCCGCGCGTCGGCCAGCCGCCGCTCGAACGCCTCCCTCTCCACCGCCGCCAGCCCGCCGCCGCGCACCGCCTCGCGAGGGTCCCGCGGGGCCGCCACCGCCGCCGCCGCCGCCGCCTCGCCCTCCGCCCTGACAGCGGCGAGCGCCGCCTCCGCCTCCGCCGCCTCGTCGCGCAAGCGCCGGCGTAATGTGGCGGCGGCGGCCTCGAGGGTGGAGCAGTGCGCACGCAGCCGCTCCGCCTCCGCCGCCTGCGCCCTCTCCCTCTCCGTGGCTTGCGCTCTCGCCCGCTCGAGCTCCGCCACCTGCTCACAGTCAGCAGGTGTGAAGAGAGGGGCGGCTCTTCTCGCACCGCCCGCGCACGCCCTCTCGCCCACCTTCCGCTCTCGCTCCTTCGCCTGCCGCTCGTGCGACGCGAGGGCGAGCGCGGCCGCCTGTTCGCACCACCAGCCGTGAAGCGACGCTCACAGGCGGGCGGCACCAGCCGAGGCGCGGCGGGCCGACTCCGCAGCAGCGGCGCGCTCGTCCGCCGCGGCGCGTGCCTCGTACTGCCGCCTCCGCTCCGCCTACCCGGGCCGCGAGGCGAACGGTGAGGACACCCCCGCCCCAACCGCAGTGTCTCTGTGCCCGGCGACGCTCGTCTCGCCTCCACAGACGCCGCGCGCGCCTCCGCCTCCTCTCGCCGCCGCTCCGCCGCTGCCGCCCGCGCCTCAGAGCCGCTGCGAGCCGCCGCCGCCGCCTCGGCGCGCGCCGCCGCCGCCACCGCAGCCTCGGCCGCCGCCGCCTCGGACCGCTGCGCCGCCGCCTCGCGCTGCTCCGCCACCTGCTCACACACCCACACCCCGTGTGTGAAGAGACGCCCTCCGCGGCTGCGCCGCCGCCCCTCCTCCCCCCAACACCGTGTGGTGCGCGCGCAGCTCCTGCCGTAAGCCCGCCGCCTCGCCCTCCGCCGACGCCGCCCGCCGCCGCAGCCCTTCTTGCGCCTCGACCGCCGCTGCCTGCCTCGCCGACGACCTCTGCCGCTCGACCACCAGCTCCTCCGCCGACGCCGCCACCGCAGCGGCCGACTCTGCAGCCGCGGCAGCCGCCTCCTCCCTCGCCGCCCACGCGCGCACCGCCTCCGCCTCCGCCACGCCAATCTCCGCCGCCGCCGTCGCCGCCGTCGCCGCCGCCGCCTCGGCCGCCGCCGTTGCAGCCGCCGTTGCAGCCGCCTCGGCGGACAACAGCGCCGCCTTGCCCTCCACCAACGCGCCGCTCGCACGCTGCAGCGCGACGCCTAGGGTCGCCGAAGCCGCGTGGTGAGAGAGAGGGGGGAAGAGGAGAGAGAGAGGAGAGAGAGGAGAGAGAGAAGAGAGAGAGGAGGGAAGGGAAGAGAGGCGAGAGAGGAGGGCGAGAGAGGGAGGGGTGTGTAGAGAGACACGAGAGAGAAGAGCGACAGAGAGAGAGCGCCGCACCGAACGTCTCCCCCTCCCGCTCCGCCTGCCGCAACGACGCACTCAGCACGTCGCAGCGGCATCGCTCCGCCGCCGCCACCTCGGCCGCCGCCGCCGCCGCCGCCGCCTCCGCCGCCACCAGCTCCGCCGCACGCTCCTCCGCCACGGCCCTCGCCTCCACCGCCGCCGCCGCTGTGGCCGCCGCCGCCGTCGCCTCGGCGCGCGCCACCGCTCGGGCCGCCTCCGCCATCGCCGCCTCCTCCGCCCTCGCCGCCGCCCTCGCCGCCGCCTCTCGCCGCGCCTCGTCGCTCGCCTGTTCACAGCAGGGCGTGTGAATAGGCGCTGTTCACAGGAGGGCCTCAAGCCACGTCGCCGACTCGCCGCCGCCGCCGCCACCGCGGCCGCCACCTGCGACTGCGCCGCCGCAGCTCGCGCCGCCGCATCCCTCCTGGCCGCCTCGAGGCTGCCCTCAAGCGCGGACGCACGCGCGGCGGCCTCGCGGACCGTCGCCTCCGCCGCGCCCAGCGACGCGTCCCTCTCCTGCACCTCCGCCTCGGTCCGCCGCAACTCCGCCTCGGTCCGCCGCAACTCCGCCTCGGTCCGCCGCAACTCCGCCTCGGTCCGCCGCAAGTCCGCCTCGGTCCGCCGCAGCGACTCGGCCGCGTCTTGCTGCGCCGCGCTCGACCGCCGCAACGCCGCCTCCGCCTCCTCGTTCGCACGCTCCGAAGCGGCAGCGCGCGCCGACAGGCCGGCGGCATGCTCCGCCGCCTCCTCCGCCGCGCGCGCCGCCTCCGCTCTCTCCTCCTCCAGCCTGCGCCGCAGCTCGGCCACCTCGAGGCCCTCCGCCAGCGCCGCGCGAACCACGTCCACGCCCGAGGCCTCCGCAGCGACAAGGGAGCCCGCCGAAGCCGCCGCGGCGGCCGCCCGCCTCGGGCAGGCGCCGCGCACCTACCAATCAACACACCACCGAGTCAATCACCGCATCACTCAACGTCTCCAGCCTCTCACGGCACGGGGCAAGCACCACGGGCGGTGTCGCGGCCTCGTCGAGCGCCTCGCGCAGCACGCCGCCCAACGGCGCGGTGGTGGGCGGCGGCGAGCGGAGCGGAGTGCCGCTCCAGCCGACCTGCGGCGGCATGCGGACGAGAGCGCCCTGAGGCGGGCTTGGTGGCGCGGCAGCCGCCACCGCGAGACCTGCGGCGGCGGCGCCGCTAACGGCGCCGCCTCGCCCCCCTGCCTCGTCCGCCTCGTCCGCCTCGGCCGCCTCGCGCGCCTCCAGCTCCGCCTCGCGACGAGTGAGGGCCTGCTGCAGCGCCTGGGCAGCCGGGGG